GATTGTGAGGTATTGTGGTGAGAAGTATAATATGTGTATTTGATGCTATGGAAATCTATTATATGCATTATTATTGTGTTAATATTCATTGTGGTGAGAAAATGTGGAATATATGTATTCTGTACTTGTGCATTTATATATGATTATGTGCTTTGATTATTATGGTAATATTTCTCACCCTTCTGCTGGAATGATGTTCTATATGACATCGTGCAGGTATCTTGGAGTTGTACTGCTAGTAGTTGCGAGGTCTCTGCTGGTGCAGTTGTTTAGTATTTTAATTATGTCGGGTCGAGTCATGCTCTGGTTATGTAACACTGGGATCGTTGGGTTTATGCCTTAAAGATATATTATGTATTCTAAGTTGTGTTTTAAATGTATTTGAAATATTATGATAATGGCCTCTGTGCCTAAGTGTTGATGATTATGTGATGAACATGAATGTTCTGTGAAGAGATTTATGTAAATAAATCGAATCCGCTGCTACATGCAAGATGAAAATTTAATAGCATGACTATTTATTTCAATGTTACATGATTATGACAGGTGAATGTTGAGATTTGTAGATTGTGTGACGCCCTTTTGTGAAAGCATGTTAATTTACTCTAATTAATTATGTATTTTTATGTGGGGTTAGAATGGTGTTACACTAGCACAATTTGAATAATCTGGATAAATTGCATATAGATCTGCACAAGTGTAAAGGTCTAATGTGGAGTGAGGAAACTGGTGCGAAGAGTATTGGTTTCCTATAGAAAACCCAATATCCCCCTCACATGTGTGATCTAGCTTTGAATAAGGGTTCTCAATGGTCATCAACTTCTCGGGCTCTCAGGTCGAGAAGTAATAATACGTTCACCATTTCTGGTTTTGGCATTATTACCCCTCAAGGAGGCCTCCAATGATTTCCAATGATCAGTCTCCAAAGTCACAAGCCCTCAAGGAAAGTATCGTAGCTACTGCATAAACATGCATGACAAAGTATCCCCAAGGAAGCCTCGCCTGGATGTGGGCCCGTGCTAACAATATGTATCAAGTGTTATGCATTTTAACACAAGTCTATTCTAGTATCATGTGTATCCTCAATCTTGGGTAATAGGCTTATCTCTCAAGTAACAACCTATCCTAACAACAGCAAAGAATATAGCAAATATCCAGAGTATGCAGCATATGAATATTTAAAGCAGTAAAAGAAATGCAGTAAATAACATAAAGATAAAGTGAGTAAAGCATACAGATAAACACCCAAGCAAGCAAGAAAGCAAACAAAACTAAGAGAGACCCCAACTTGCGAGAGCAAGGACTGCCCATCAGAGTCGCCAACTGAAGCTAGCCGGATTATACCTGAGTGAATCGCACACTCAAAGGTACAACAGAGTCGCCACCAAACTTTATATAGTCCCAAAAGACAGGGAAAATATCGATAAAACCCAAGGGAAAGAGAAACAGGTAAGGAGGTTGGTTATGCGAGAGGAAGGTACTAGCACCCCACGCATTCGTCGTACTTGACGGGAACCATTTTGCTTACTTCTAGGCAATGAGTTATCTATCTAAAGGCTACTAGCTAAAGAGGAAAGGGAAAAAGAAAAAGAAAGTGCTCGTGGAGGATTGGAGCCCTCGTGCCTACGTATCCTTATAGTGCAATGAGGAATTCAGAGCTCCGTAGTTCATGGAACCAGGGAAAAGACAGAAGGTGGCTCGCCAAGATTTTGCAATCTCGTGCCTACGCTTCCTCATAGTGCAGTGAGGAATTCAGAGCCTACGTAGTTCGAAGAACAAAGACATGAAAGAAAAGAAATGGAAAACGATATCAAAACCAAGATCGAAAAGATGTAGAAAAACTCTACTAGGGAATGCATAAGAATGGTGTCAAAACTAAGAAAGACATGTGAAGGAATGTTGGCGACTCCACTGAGGAGAAAACAAAGGAATGGTGTCGAAACCAAGAGAATAAAGGAGCAAAGAAAATTGAATCGAGACAAAGTAAAATCCACTAGAGATTTAGTATATTAACTGACAGACAGTGGTTAAGCAAAGAAAAATAAGAGTTTGATTATGTGGGGAAAAGGGTTTGGTGTCAACAGATAGACTATAATGAACCAAAAGGAAGGTATTGAATCAAAAGAAGGTGTTTGAATCTCTGGGACTCGGTATGTTAACTAACAAATAGTGGTTAATTGAAAGAACTGATGTGGGACCAAGCGAAGGTTATGACCCAAAGGACAAGTGTGGAACCAAGCGATGGTTGCGACCCAAAGGACGAGTGTGGAACCAAGCTAAGGTTTTGACCCCAAAGAACGGGTGTGGAACCAAGCGAAGGTTATGACCCAAAGGACGGGTGTGGAACCTAGCGAAGGTTCACTATGCCAAAAAAGACCTTTAGCAGCGCTTTTTTTGCCTTTAGCAGCGCTTTAAAGCGCTGCCAAAAGTGGCGCTGCTAAAGGTAAAGGCAGCGCTTTTTTTATGGAAAAAGCGCTGCTAAAGGCTCCCTTCAGCAGCAATTTTAGCAGCGCTTTTATAGCCCTTTAGCAGCGCTTTCATAAGCGCTGCATATTCCCCCCAACCATCCCCCCCTTTAGCAGCGCTTTCACAAAGCGCTTCCATAGCCCCCCCTTTAGCAGTGCTTTTACAAAGCGCTGCCATAGCCCCCCCTTTAGCAGCGCTTTTTAGAAGCGCTGTCTTAGACCCCCCCCCCTTCCAAACCTATAGCAGCGCTTTTGTAGTGCAATGTTTGTGACCTTTAGCAGCGCTTTTTTGTAAAAGCGCTGTCTAATGTCCCAGATTTTAAATATTTTTAAAAAAAAAATATTCACCCTATTTTGTATATTTACCAACAACCTGCTTATATTACACAAACCTGCTTATAATTCAGGCCTTTATTTCAACACTTTGGCCTTATATATACAATTCAAAACTTTGGCCTTAAATATACAATTCAAAACTTTGGCCTTATATATACAATTCAAAACTTTGGATACATTGTAACTCATCACTTTGTTCATAAACATTTTAATATACACATAAACCTGTTTAAATATGTTACAACAAAATTCGATCCTCAGAGTTACAACAACACAAATACATTCAATTTACATATAATTACAATTCTTCCAATCCGATAACTCTATACAATTCTCAACCCAAGAATAAATTGACACCATTCCTCTTTAATTTCTTCCAATTTTGCTTTCGTGTAAGTAGCGCACTTGAATTCATCAAAATACTACGTAATATAACAGATCGAATAAGATTTAATTTTAAAACTAATTACTCAGATGAAGTATCGGATAATTATCAAAATGAATCATATAACTTATATAATGAATTGATCCATACCATGACTGGAATCTCAAGTTGACCAGAAAGAATAATTTCCCTCATAAAGCGCAATACAAAATATCCACAGTCAATACCATTGCGCTGCCGAGGACACTGTAAATGGAAAAAACAAACGAACATTTATCAGGATATATAGTTTAAATAGTTTTATCAAGTAGAACCACTATAACAGTCAAACATGCGAAAATATACCTCCACTCTGATCCAGTTGATGTTGTTAGCCTTGCTTTTTGGCACCGTTGCATCTCTTTGTGCTCTGAATATTTGTATAACTCTAACATAATATAAACGCATATTTAGAACAATGTCACATAATAAATAAAGATATATAATTAAAGACAACAGTATATCTCATCACTTACGTATCAACAAAGTTCCTCAGATTTTCATATTTTGTTGTATCGTCATCCAATGAATCTATATAATACACTATTTCTTTCGTCGGATTAATCGCGATCAACAACCAATGTCCACTATAAAATAAGACAACAGTTTAGACGGAAATGTTATATAGAAAGGGAAAAATCGAACAATTATAATAAATGAATTTAGAATAAAATCTAACCCATGGCCAATATTATGTGGCAACAAGAACAACTTCTCCGTAGTCGCGCGCATAAATCTCTGCACTGTGTACTCTTTGACTGTATCCGGTGTCTGGTCTATTATACGTGAGTTGACACAGCTAGCAGATAAGAATGCGAATACTGAAGTCAATTCATTCGGGACCAATAACTGATTTTTTCACCCAAATAACCAAGTTTCTACACTATTATTTCCAAACTACCCAACTTTCCAATATATTATCCAATCTACCCTAGTTTGGTATTTTTTTTTATTTTTTTTTACAAGGGGGCGCCATGGGGGTTGGAGCCTCCCTTATAATTTGTATGGGGGCGCCATGGGGGTTGGAGCCACCCTACAAATTATAAAGGGGGCGCCATACCCATTGGAGCCTCCCTTAAACGAAAATTAAAAATTATTTTTAATGTTTAATTAGTTTAAAAATATTTAATAAATAATTTTTAATAAATTAAAAATTTTTTAAAAATAATAATTTTGTAAATAATAATTTTGTAAATAATAATTTCTGAATAATTTTTAACAATTTATATTTTAATATTGAAATTGTTTCATATTTTTAACAATTTATAAATAAATAATAATTAATATTTTCATTAATAAATTCCAAACAACAAATAAAAATTAAATTGGATTAAATAAATTTAGTCACATACAAATGGCTACATTTGAAAGATCTTGTACACTAATTTCTACGACTCGGTCGATTTAAATGTCCGCCCGTACCGTATCCTCAATTACGTACGTTTCATGGTAGTCTTTGTGGTGGAGTCGGGTCCATTGTGTCGTCATCAAGCATTTGCATCACTTCGGCCCATGAAGAGTCCATATCCGTAAAGTCATCCAAATTAAAAGGGTTGCCCATGCCTTCATAATTATTTTGGGGTGGTTGGCTGGATGAGGCAATGTCAGGACGATAACCTGCCTGATCGTAGGGTGAGATGGGTGTAAAGGTTTGGGTGGGTATGGGTTGATTGGGTGTTTGAAACTGGGAGTATGTGCGGTATTGTGGTGGATGTTGTTGGTATTCGGATTATGAATGAGTTTGTGTGAATGGAGTGAATTGGTTAGGAGTATGTTCATATGGCTGTGATTGTGAGTGGGGGTTGGAAATGGGGTTGGGTTGGCGGTTGGAAATAGTATTGGGTTGATGGTTGGCATTGAGGTTGGGTTGGCGGTTGGAAATAGGGCTGGGTTGGTTGTTGGGGCCTTGATGATGAATCTTGTTGGCGTGGGTCATTAAGATACCTTGGATGTGAAATGAAACCAATTGATACAGACTTATACCAAGTCATGTATTGTATAGATTGTTTCATCTCGTATGGAAACACATTGTCGGACAAAACATAGTTGTTGCGATGCCTCCATTCACGACACTCGTGTTTTGCATACTTGGTCCACGGATTATATTCCCATTGGTCGGAGACTTTACCGTTGTGATATTTGTCGGGTATGCACTTTGGGGGACATGGAATATCTTGAAGCATTCCAAATTGAAGTTTCACACGATCACTGTTGTGCATTTTGACGGTGGTGAAGTTGATAATGGGCACCTTTGCACTCCACACCGCAGAATCTTGTCGTTCAACTTGATGAAATGCTTCTAGACCAAGATACGGCCGCCAAATGAACTGAAGGATGAAAAAAAATGTTTAGTATTTTCTAATAATATTCAAGGAGAGTATAACATAAATAGGTAGGTGAGTGAGTTTACATCTTCTTGCGCCAAGTGATCAATAAGATTGCGGTACTGCGTTATACTGAAGTGGGGACAATTTTCATAATTCATTCCAAGCGAAGACCACCTACAAATCGAAAACAATAAAATTTATTAATAATATGCTTAATAAATAAAAACACTTTGATAGATGAATGAAAATTGGAAAAAATAATTACCTTTTAGCGAATGGGAATTCAAACTGATTTTGTTGGATAGGTGTTAGATTGGTCATTCTTGACCAACCCCAAGATTGTAGAAGAACACCACATCCGGTCCAATTTCCGGTATTGGCTATTGAGTTATGACATAAAGACCGATATAGGTGCGCTAGTGTAGCGGACCCCCAACTATATGTTTTTATTTTATCTACGTCATCTAATAAAGGTAAGTACATAGAGTGAACGACGTTCAATAGGTATGGCGCCCCCTTTATAATTTGTAGGGTGGCTCCAAATTATTATTTTAAAAATTATTATTTTTAAAAAAATTTTAATTTATTAAAAATTATTTATTAAATATTTTTAAACTAATTAAACATTAAAAATAATTTTTAATTTTCGTTTAAGGGAGGCTCCAATGGGTATGGCGCCCCCTTTATAATTTGTAGGGTGGCTCCAACCCCCATGGCGCCCCCATACAAATTATAAGGGAGGCTCCAACCCCCATGGCGCCCCCTTGTAAAAAAAAATAAAAAAAAAATACCAAACTAGGGTAGATTGGATAATATATTGGAAAGTTGGGTAGTTTGGAAATAATAGTGTAGAAACTTGGTTATTTGGGTGAAAAAATCCCAATAACTTGTCATACAAGAACCTAAAAAAACATAATCAACATTAGAATATTCAGTTAAACGAGCAAATTTTAAAATGTTCAATTATTTAATTAAAATGGATCGAAGTACCTGATGTATGAATGCATAATACCGACGCCCAATTCAGAATGGTTGAAAACCTGATCAAAATCCTCCTTAGCAATTGTTTCGGGATATTCAAAACCGAAAATACCTGCCTCCATGTGTATTTGACAGATGCCACCCTCAGGCACATCTGATGTTCCGACATATGTTTCAAGGCACATCCTAAATCGAGGAACAAATGCTTTTCTGGGAGCCTTGGAAGTTTCAGGCATCTTACCCTTGCTGACTTGTTGCGACTGCTGATCATGAACCTAAAAGTCATATATAAGTTCAGTAATTAATGTATAATAAGATAATCATGTAACTGTAGTAGTACCTGTTTCTTTGATGCAGTTGAATCGGTATCCCGCACAATAATTCTATCATCTTTTGATTTGGATTTTGTAGGAGTCTAAGATCATCATGTAAATAAGATGATGTAGATGTAAGAATAACTTTCATGAAACATTTGAGTATTAAAAGGTTCAACCTACCTCATCATCTATGCAAATGAGATTTGCCGGCCATGCCACATACGCTCCTATTGCGTCTCCCACCACTGTTGCGTCTGAAATATCATCTGGTATATGCAACAACGCACTCCCCTCTAATGCAATATCAATAGATACTTTCAAAAATCCAGAAGGGAGCGGTTTGTGGTGAAGTAAGTCTCCCAGAAAGTTATGCACCTTTCCCTTGCCAACCATTCGATGAGTAGGTGACGATAAATATAGCCGGCAAAGTGAAATGCCCTAAACAAATAATGATCAGTTAATGTGTCAATTAAGTAAACTGTGCTAAATTAATTTCAATGTAATATATACAATTACCTCTGGAAGCTTCTGCGGACAACCGATACTATCTTTGTCACTAGTAGCTTTACCCTCTGGAGCGTGTCTTTCCGACATGTATCTCTCCTTATCCTTCTGTAATTCACGGATTTGCGCTTTCCATTCCTCCAAAGTATCCATCACGTCTTTATTGGTTGGATTTTTTTTCTTTGGCTGCTTATACAGTTTGGATGGAGTGACACCAAATCCCTTACCCCTCACACGCCCAGAATACTCAGGAATATTCAGCACCCGGCTCAGTAAGCTCCTGCAATCATCGTCCTCAGCGGGAGTTATGGTCTGGGATAGAGTCTCCTGAAACATAGATAAAAACATATATAAATATATTATACACTTTTGATCAGTTACTGACAAAGATAACGTTGTACTTACACATTGTTCAAAGACTTGTTGAACTTCTTCCTGAACGACTCCATCTCGTCCCACACGGGCAGCCTTCCATACAACATGGTCCGGAAGAGATGTCGCATCACTCTTCTCCTCTTCCAACTACGCATTAAGACGGATAATAAAGCATTATATCCTATTATATATACTTACTATTTTTTGTAAATATATCATATTAAAGCATTTATATGTACTTACTATTTTTTGTTCTAATCTTGCATATCCCAAACGGCCCTTTCTGTATGGATATGCGGGATTTGATGCCCGTTGACGATTTACGCCACTAACAACCTGAAAAAACAAGTTTAGCAGAACTCTTGTGGAAGAAGTATATATACTATACATAGTTCATGATAAGTTGTACTTACTTCAAATTCTTTTGTTCTTCGCTTTGCAACAAACGTCTCCCATTCTTCCTCCGAAATCAAATTCGCGTACTTCATTGGATGCTCCGAGTCAACAAAGTTTCCTTCAGAATCTCTTAGAAACTTGTTTGTTAAAAACGCTCTAAATCCCCTCAAGCGTTTTCCGGCCAATTGAATACAATATTTTCTCCTACGATCTTCAATATTAAAAGATATCTGCAAACAAACACACATACATATAACATGTTAGTATAATTAATTTAAAGACGTAATTGTCAACATAATTAAAAATAATCAAATATCATACCTGAATCTCGGTCCAAATCTTATCTTTAGCCGGTTGTAATGAAACAATTCTCCAATTATCGCAAGTAATCGGAACTTGCGAACGTACAAGTGCTCCGATGTAACTTGTAAACAATGCACCGTTAGGCTCAACTAACTGATCTCTTTCATTCCAATGGACATCATACTTTACTCCTTTATCTCTCGCATGGATGATTTTTTTCATAATTGTTATGCCTCTTTTAATATCGCCTTCCACGTCTTTTGTTGTTTGTTTTCCATCATGTGATGTTTCCTCGTTGTTGGCCATAATATATATACCTGTAATTCAGAAAAACCAAAGTATCAAATGAATGACATGCAAATATGTAAATAACAAATATATACATAAGAAATGTGTAAATAAGAAAAACATGGTATAAATAAGAAATAATATGTTACAAGTACCTTTAACATCTCTTTCTTTTTTTCGTTGTAACGGGGTTTACTTGTCTCTTAACAACACGGACATATGGATTGATCCAAATTCCCTCGTTATGATCATTTCTAATATATGATTCGTCCGCTCTAATATTCTTATCTGGATCATCTATAATATAAGATTCATTCTCAACATCAACATCCCCCTTTTCTCCAATGTTATCATCGATTACTTTGTTGGAAAAAAGAACTATAGACCATTTCGTACTTGTCGGATCAGTGACATAGAACACTTGTTTAGCTTGCGTGGCTAGAATAAAAGGCTCATCTTTGTACCCCACCTTATTAAGATCCACTTTCAAAAAACCTGATTTATCCATTTGTATGCCACTATTATTTTCAACCCACTTGCATCCAAAGATAGGAATCTGAAACTTCTCATAATCAAACACCCAAATGCGCTCGATAACCCCGTAATACGAGGAAATGTGCATTGCTTCGGCAAGCACGGTGACACCACTATTTTGCATTGTACTTTTATCATCTAGTTCCTTGGTATAAAATGTGTATCCATTAATTGCGTATGCGCTATAATAGATTTTGGGAGGCCAATGGATTGAACGTTGGACAAATATTCAGTACAAAACTCAATAGCTTCTTCAATAATGTATCGTTCAACAATACATCCCTCTGGTCGACTTTGGTTTTTCACATACCCTTTCAATATTTTCATATAACGTTCAACAGGGTACATCCATCTCATATAGGCAGGTCCACACAGTTGTGTCTCTTTCACAAGATGAACAACTAGATGTACCATTATGTCAAAAAATGATGGAGGAAAATACATTTCAAGCTCGCACAAAGTAATAACTATTTCTCTTTGCAATGTTGGTAAGATCGCAGGATCTATCACCTTACTACAGATTGACCTAAAGAAAAAACACAATTTAGTTATTGCGCCTCTCACTTTTTCTGGCAAAATAGAACGTATACCTATTGGTAGAAAGTGTTCCATTATAACATGACAATCATGTGTCTTTAAACTTTTTAACTTGAGGTATTTCATAGAAACAAGTCTTCTAATATCTGAAGAGTATCCTTCTGGAACTTTAACTTCACTCAGAAACTTACACAATATCTTTTTCTCCTTTCTAGATAAAGTATAAGCAGCAGGTGGTAGATATGTGCGGTTTCCTTTCTTCAAGGGTCCTAATTCATTTCTTATTCCCATTGCTACCAAGTCCTTTCTTGCTTTAAGGCCATCCTTAGACTTTCCTTGTATATTGAGTAACGTACCAATAACACTTTCAAATACATTTTTTTCAATATGCATAACATCAAGAAAATGTCTTACATACAACGACTTCCAATACGGCAACTCAAACAAAATTGACCTCTTCTTCCACCCACGCGTGACAAGCGTATGAGCAAAAGGCTTGCCAAACTTAGTACTCACATCTTTCACCTTTTCAAAAATTTGTTCGCCAGTCAATGTAGGTGGAGCTTTACGTTGTTCTGGATTTCCATTGAATGCTTTTCTCCACCCACGGTAATGATGACTAGAATTTAAGAATCTACGATGACCAAGAAATACATTCTTCTGACCAAATTCCAACCGCGTCCAATCTGTGTTTTCTTCACAGATAGGACACACACATTGACCTTTAATGCTATACCCCGATAGATTTCCGTATGCTGGGAAATCATTAATTGTGCCAAACAACATCGCCCTCAAATTGAAACTTTCTTTCCTATATCCATCATAAACCTCCACACCGTTCTCCCACAAACTCTTTAAGTCTTCGATTAGAGGTGTCAGGTATACGTCTATGTCATTCCCTGGTTGTTTAGGGCCAGAAATTAACATAGATAACATCATGTATTTACGCTTCATACATAGCCATGGAGGTAGGTTATAAATCATAATAATTACAGGCCAGGTGGAATGTGAGATACTCTGCAGACCATGCGGATTCATTCCATCAGTCAATAATGCCAAGCGAAGGTTTCTAGCTTCTTCTCCAAA